TACTAGGGGGTAATATTCGGGGGAAGTAATGTCCTGTAGCCATTGAGCCTGATCTGACCGTATGCATTATGTTATCTGAAATAATACGCCTACTTTGTAATAAGCAACAGTGTTTAAAACATATAATACATTTTTAACTCATCGATATTATTTACTTTTAATTTCAATCCAAATTTAACGGCAAGTACAAATGTATAATTCAAACTAATATAAAAACAAATTTTATAAAACATCACGTGAGGTGTAGGCCTATATGTATTTGTTTGTCATGTCTATTTTTTGTATGCTGATGAAAATGCATTCCAAGTGTTATGAAGCTCTATGAATGAATCTTTCTTTAACTTATACTAGAAAGTATTACCTAGTGCAAGAACGGGAAAAAAAATTATGATAAATAATAGTACATGATACTTTATTAAATTAAATTATACTAAACTTCAAATACTCTAATACTAACCTCTCTCTTGCCAGTAATACATGTCCCCAAAATTCTCTGCAGATTAGACTACTTCTCACAATAAGCATATTTTATTAAGGAAATAAAAAAGACAAATACTCTCAATTAGTACAGTATACTGCCAATACAAACTTAACATTAAATGACATAATAAACACCCTTTACCTAATTATACGGTTAGACCATATGCATATTATATATATTATAAATACTATGACATTTGATTTATTTTTGTGTTACAGTACGTAAAATGTGTTTGTTAGTTAATTAATTTGTTCTGCCACACTTGCGGTCGAGTGTAAAATATTTTGGAAATTACACTTATGTGAATATTGCTCATTCTCAAAAGAGGATGTGTCCTGAAACCCATGGCGATAAATTTCCACGAAACGGTCAAGTACTGCGACAGCATCCGCAATGTTAAGTAATTGAGGCACTGACTGCTTTATCTTTGCTTGTGTAATAAATTGCAGCAAGCATTGCAGAATGCTTTCTTTTATTTAACTAGAAGTTATTTTTTTTTAAAAAAAAAGGTCAAAATGATCTTTTTTCTGAGCTTGATGATCATTGCAAAATTAACTTGGATCAATGGTAAAGTAGTAAATATGTTTTTCTTGCCTATCGCACAATACTTAATGTATATAATGTTCTGTTATTCTTTAATAGTTTGTTACATCTAAAATTGCCATTGACTTGCACCTTAATGTAATAAAATATAACATACAAACATCTATTCAGGAATTGACATGTCATTAGAGAGAGAACACTACACAGTGGCAAAATATTTATTTTGTGGCAAGTTACATTGTGTGGAGAATACAAGAGAAGATAATAGAATATCAGCTCTTGTTAACATGTCAGTGGATAATTTCAGTATATTAGAGGGGAAGATTATGTTGCACTTTTATAATTGATATATGTTAAATGTTTGCATGTTTTTTCCTCCCTAATAAATTGAATTGCAAGGCTTTTAAATAAATTAGTGTTGCCTTTTCAAACCTGACGTTTCATATGACAAGTTAAGAAGAATTCACCTATTTCTGTAATTTCGGCATATGAAGGAATAGTTTGGTCTACACTACGCCGAGCCGTCTAGCGCGCTAGTGTTTTTAAATGCTAAACTATAAATGTAACTATAACACAGTTCATTCCTAAATGGTGTGCCCCCCCCCCCCCCCCGCATTGTGTCTGGCGGCACAGAAAATTGGGAGGTAGGTGGTTTTTGGATGAATTGTGTGCGTAATTTTTCTTTGGAGTATCGACCTCTTTAGGGCTTTGCAACAGAATTAGTAGCCTTTTCCTCTACATTTCCTTAATGTTGGTTTATCTTCTATATATTCTTCTCTAAATCCTGTCTCCAATTAAATCTATGCGGATTTTTTTCCACAATGGTTACTTCTGGGTCCTGATAGTTGATGCCAAATATTTGTTTAAAAAGTAATCACTCCTTTGGAATAATAATAAATAATTTACACCTCCTTTTGAATCAGTTTCTGTATTGTGTAACTCTAGTGTTCTTCTTTGATGATGGTTTTATTCAAGTTTCTTTTAAAACTGTTCTTCAGGCGAGTATACATCAAATATTTTGTTCATGCGTGCATTGTATTTTTATACTAGTTATCCAAGTTATTGCTCTATGCAAACGTTTAGGCTTGTTTATTTTAGTTTTAACTTGACAGTCAGTTTTCTCTAACTCAAGACGTTTTCATATGGCTAAAAGCTTCTCTTGCCTTTTAATTCTGGCTTTTTTGTCTGCACCTCTCCGAGTTTTATTTTATTATTTATCCTGCCTTGGTCGTGGCAAATTTTATGTTTTAGATATATTTATCTTTCAGTTATACAGGAGAGATATTTATTTTTCATTTTTTCTATACGATTCTGTTTTTCTCCCTATAAACTTGCCTTTAGAGTTGTAGATATTTTGGTTGCTTTTTTTCCCTATTGTACTTATTATTGCTTGGGTGAGATAAGACGAGATATTCTACAAAGTCTTTGTCATCAAATTGTTATCAGTGAGTCCGTGGTATATACTTTCTTTTTTACTCTGTTGCAATTCTCATGATCCAATCTATGGCAAGATGGAACATCGCTAGCGACAATAGTCGACCAGTCTCATTCTTATCTTTATCGTTTTTTATGCGAAACTCTACACTTTAATTCCGTGTATGACTATGCATTTCTTTGATACGTTGCTCAATTATACCTGAGTATCAAAACAGCTTATGTGCCTTTCAACAAAGGATGTTGTTTATTTACTCGTGATAGCTCTATTCCGTTGAGTGGATTTTATCAACATACCATATTTTATCAACATACCATATTTTATCAACATACCATATTTTATCAGCATACCATATTTTATCAACATACCATATTTTATCAACATACCATATTTTATCAACATACCATATTTTATCAACATACCATATTTTATCAACATACCATATTTTATCAACATACCATATTTTATCAACATACCACTTTTTATCAACATACCATATTTTATCAACATACCATGTTGCAGATGACCAGCCTCACAATATTGTAAGACTATCTAAGATGTTATTAAATGCAGCGTTTAAACTTTAATTTGGAAGTTTACACGCGGTTTACTTACATTCATAAAGCGAGGAAGACAATATTGCTGAAAACGCTCTCATTTCATCGACTGAGGTCATTGAAATAGGTGAACTCTACTGCACCATTGACCAGAGATTCTTCTAGGCATGTATTCGGGGGCAAAGCCCCCCCCCCCCCCCCCGAATTTTTTTTACCGCACTTTCCCCCCACCGAACGAAATGAAATTTACATAATTTATATAGAAAATATATACTTGTAACAGTCTCCGCTCCCCCGAAGAAAGTTTACTACTCCTCCCCGAAGATTTCAAGTGCCCCCCCCCCCCCCGGAGAAAAAAGTCTGGAAGAAACGCTGCCATTGACCGTCAGGATCGCAAAACTGTTAACGGTTGTGCTTGTACAGTAAAACGAGTAAAGGATCCAGATATAAAGTGACATTTTTTGACAACAATAACGAAAAAAAAAGAATTCCCTCAAAATTACTGCATCGAAGTGCTACAAGTACACGATTGATGAAATATCTTATATAATTAATGGACCTTGTACAATCGATCAGCATATTATAATACCCGCAACGTATTCGCATAAACTGCATTTGATAACGGAACATCCTTAATATATTACTAACATGTCAGTATTATGTAGTATTACACTTATAATGGGTGTATATGTTGAAGTTGTGATAATTTATAAGATGCTCCAGAGATGTAAAGATGAAGTACGTGATGTGACCGTTTAAACGTTACAATATAGGCAGACTAGTCTTATGTTGCCAGAAATATTTTTTGTCTCAAGCTGACAGAAATGTAAAGCGGTCTTACAGAGATGAGAAGCAGTGGAGAACATCTGTGTGTGATCGATCTTTTGTCTATTGGAATTAAAGCAACATAAATGCTTTAACGATGGGATACATGTTTATTTAAAACTTATACTTATATAAAAAAATAACTTGCGGTGATAAAAAATTCTTTTCAAACAAACACATAGACATGATGGTAATTCGAGGGATATTTCTGCTTTTTGTTTCTCAATTTAAAGCAAACTTAGCCATATTTTATGCTTACAAGTTTTTATAAAATACTTATATATTTTCAGGACTTGACATTTCATTGGAAAGAGAATACTATATGGAGGGTAAACATTTATTCTGTGCCAAGTTACATTGTGTGGAGAACACAAGCGAAGATAATGAAATCTCAGCTCTTGTCAACATGTCAGTCTATAGGATCAGTGAATTAGAAGGGAAGATTGTGTTGGCGTCTGTATCAGAATCAGATTCAAGAGTTCGAGATTATAAAGTAAATGGATCAAAAGTTGATGGAAAATTTTCAAAGGTGTTTGGAGACTTGACTATGTCATTTACAAAAACTTCTGATTGTTTTAGTACTGTGTTTGGATGTGATGTGTATTACAAAAACAAAAGGGGTCTCGTTGAGAAGAAAGAGAAGAAAACAAAACCTGTTGACCAAGAAAATCGTAAGCCGTTGATGGTGATGACCTTAGAGGCTAAAACTCCAGAGTTTGATAAAACTATTGATAGAATGTCAGAGTTTCTGAAAACTTTTCAATATTCTGAACTGTTAAACAGTGCTGACTTGAAGATGAATTTACAGTTTTCAACAGACGATAGACGTTCTAACCAGACTGTTAGTCAAATAAATCATAGAAGAGAGTTACCGGTGGAAGAAAGAGTTGACAACTTAGTTAATCTTACAAATGCGTTGGAAAGTAGATTGAATAGCTTGTTAGTTGCTCAAGAATCTAAAACTCAGAGACTTGAAAACACAATTAACAACATAACAAATGGATACAAGGACGTTAAGAACCAATTGGACATACAAAATAAAACTAATCAAGAGCTTGCGCAGTTTAAAAATTACTTAAATGAAAACTTACTAAAAACAATTCAACAGATGGAAGCAAACAATAAAACACTTGAAATATACAATAGATCAACACAAGACGTTCAAAATCTTTACATCGCTTTAAAAAACCAATTGGAGAAACTGAACTACAGTGTGATTAATGTATCATTAAGTTTGTCTCAAAATTCAAATGAAAAGAAACATCTGACTAAAAACATTCAAGATTTAAAAATAGATTTATTAAACGTGACTAAGCAAAACATTGAAAATAGCAATTCGATTTTGGAACAACGTCAAAATGTACGCATTCAGCAACTGGAAGAAAGCAACAAATTACTGTCTGAAACACTTAAAGATTTAAACGCCAACATGGCGAAGACTAACACATCCATACAAAATCTGATTAAGAAATCAGCTCAAATAAGTGTCTTATTCAATAGATTAAATGGATTTGAAAACGTACGTTAAAATTTATATATATATAAATAAATAAATAAATATATATATATATATATATATATATATATATATATGTGTGTGTGTGTGTGTGTGTGTGTGTTAACATATATAAGTGTGTATGCTTTCTTCTTAGTTGTGTGTATCTGTGTAATGTTTTGGTAGGCGGTAACTTTGATATAGATAAGACCATATATTTATTAAAATAAAGTAACGAAATGTTTACCCCGTGTGATGTAAACACATATATCTTCAATTTATTACATTTTTACCTATACTAAATAAAATATTTGAAATTTTTTTTTACTCTAGTTAAAATGTGCCAACATGAACGATCGTGTTTTGGCAGATATGATAGAGGCTGGAGTAGCTGTCCGCAGACCATTGTGTGATAACAAAACTGACGGTGGTGGATGGATTATTATACAGGTTATTTTGTCCTATAAATCATCCTAACCAATTATCAAATTTTATATATCCTATATTTTTCTGACAGTTTTGATGAATTTATTCAACTGAAAACACGTTTATAATACTCAATAATAGTTTAGCTATTTCCTAAATAATGTAAAACAAATAATATTTGAACGACTTTCGCTGTGTTTTTACTATATATTGTTTGTTTATTTGAAATTATGTTTTTGGTAGTTGTATCGACATCAAGAGACACCATCTCTAGTAATATTTCATTCTTTAGGGGATTTTTCGAGAGAAAACTGATTTGTAGTCTAGTTTATTTTTTGTTGCAATAACTAATGTAAGAAATTTGAAATAAATAGAGAAATTCAGACTTTGTGTTAGATAAAGATTGTGTTCAGTGTACATTTATTGCATTTTATTAATGTGCAGGAAAGTCCTTTTTTGCTGTATGTTTAAAAGTTGAGCTTTATTTGTTTTGGAGTTTGAACAGAAGCAAACGTTAAAGGGGCTATCTGGTGATTTTGTAGCTGGTTTGTTATATAATATAACAATATAGTAAAGATTCCTCTTTAGACCTAACGATCCATTGGTCACATGAAGTGGAGTTCATTTTTCTTGACCTCGGCATGTAAAGGGATTATGTGGTCAGCACTATGCCCAGCCGTCTTTACTTTCCTTTATTCTAATAACTTAACCAGGTTTCGAACTCTAAGCTTTCGGGTTAGCAGTCTAGCGCTTTACCGCTAGGCCACGCCGTCTCATTATAATATAACAATAATCTTGATTAATTTTATAGATAATTAAGCCTTTGAATAAAGTAAATCAACTCCCTTAGCCGTTGTTTTACCACTACCGTTATTTCTTACATAAGCATTTTGATTTCTTAAAACATTGGATGGTTATAACACTTACGTAAAATAAAAACATAATTAATGTACAGAATTAATCATACTTACTTCTTAAACTTTATTTTAGCATTGTCGTTATTTCTTTCAGAGACGTATCAAAGGTGATGTGAACTTTACAAGAACTTGGAACTATTATAAAAATGGATTTGGTTCAACATCTGGAGACTTTTGGATCGGAAATGATGTAATTTCAAAATTGACAGATTTGGTAAGGAAATAATGGCTGCTTAAAAACCATGCATGGAAACGGAATTCTGTACTAAAACATTACGAAGTAACACTTATTAATGTGTTTTAGGGAACTGTGTTAATTTTATTGTAACCCACACGCACTGCACGATGTAGATGTTATCACGTAATTTCTAATTCTTAAAGAAATCACTTTATTCGATACAACTATACACTAGCTTGTGAGTTTAGATGTTTGATAACTGTTTCAAAAAACATGGGGTCTTTTTAACATCAATTTCTTAATTTGATCCTAATTTATTTAACTTGATTTTCAACGAATTATCTAATTTAAAATTTAGTACTAGCACTGACAATTAAATACATTTGCAGTAACTAATATGACACTGGTAATTACGTATGAAACACGCTTTTTTTGGTAAATGTGATTTTTATATAATTTACAACAGCAAAAATTATCTGATATAAACTATATTACACCATCTCAATTGACACAGCTTGCACATATAAAGGAAGTCTATTAACGAAAAAAACATTTTATTCTCCTTTCGATAATCACAAGTCTTTTACAATTTATCGCAAGATATCACATTATTCATATTATTATATGATCTCTGAATTGTAGATGAAATATACCTTATTTTTTTCAATATCTCAACGCTAGATTTTAGCGTTCTTGATTTCATTGGTCTTTAATTACCCTCAAGTTATATTCCTCTATCATTTCCTTATATTAACTACCCTGTAAATTAAACCCACTCAACAAATAACTGCAATAGGTCACTAACCCATTTTATTATTTAACGGACACAAGTATAAAAAGAGATGGATAAAAAGTTAGCAATAGGTAAAACTTGGGGTTGTGAACAAGAGCTGGATAGATATTGTAATATGTTGGAATTTAAATGAGGGGACAGTAATTACATAACTAGGGTAATACTAAGTTTTAGAGGAGAGGGTATTATTGACTAGCAGTGAATAACTGATTAGATAAGTGAAGGATATTGTACTACAATTGGCAGTCATACTTTTGTTTAGTCTAGATATTTCTCGTAAGAAAATATATTGAAATTGATGTGTCACCATCAGTGGAGGAACTCGAAAAAAAGACTCCCCCGCAAAAAGTTTTTGTAGCCCGTTTCAATCAATTTTAAATTATCTATTTCCTGAGTGATTTAAACTATTTCATAGCGATGTATATCCACCCTGAGATAACAACCCTGAAAAAATTATGTCCAAACTCAATTCAGGCCTGGTGTAATCGAGTTTTATAAATACAGTAACTTCACACACCATTTAGGTAGATATTTACAAGGTAGTTAAAGTGAAGCAAAGAGTATAATAAATAAATAGATACATAAGTAAATAAATACGTAAAATACATTGGGGTTTAAACACGTTGGTTCAAAAAGTGGACAAAGGCTAGTTTATAACATTTTACCAATAAACGAAGTTGAAAATTATAACATACTAGCGTACCCGACCCCCGCGCGTTGCCGCGGGGCTAGAAGAAAGTCTGACGAAATATATTAGAAGGATAGCACCAATGCATTACCAATCATATGTTCTTAGACGCGTCACCTTGTTTTCTAAAACTGTGTTATTTAAATGTTAACAATGTCTGCGCTTGGATAATAATTATCGGGACACGGGTTTTCCTACACTACCGCATGAAAACCTTAAGTGTATATTAATCACTCACCGAAATAATTAGTTAGAACACACTTTGGTGACCACCCATATGTCAGGGACGTAGAGGGGCGCTCTCAGGAGCCCCCACCACCAGATTACGCTACCGCAGAGGCGCAGCGTAAGGCCCCTGGCTCCTTAAAACTAACATGCGCCATCGTGCTCATAGGATAACCCAGCGTGTAAACAATGATGCAGATTTCGTCATTCGCTAAAGTGACACAAATGAACAGGATTTTTTTCTTTAACACATACAAAAATTATTTGACGTGTTTTCAACATTAGTTTGACTGATGCAATATGGTAGCGTTACTAATGGTCTATTATTAGATGCTCGGTCTCATTTTCGGCCTGGATCGTCTAATAATAGATGCTTATTGCATCATTCGCAAAGTGACGAAACTCTACAGTAGGTTCCTCATATTCAAACAGTTATTTTTTCATCTTTCGCAAGGTGACGAAACTGTACAGGATTTCCTCGCGTTACAAAGTTATTTTTAGAAGCCTGTTGTAGTTTTACCGCCGAATATAGTAGTAGCCTACCCCTTACTCGCTATGCAGGACGCTCGATTAACGGATGCTAAGTGCCAACTTAGTCGCTCTAAAACTCTGGGCGCCAAACCGTGTATTGACGAAAGTTGTACCCTATATGGCGCAGAAATATTCTCGGGAGTATTCTCATCTAGTCCCTAAAGTTTCATGGCACTCGGATAAACCGCATCCGAGTTTTATTTTTTATATACAGTGTATAGAGAAAAAAATCGCTCCCCCCCCCGGTGGTGCGCCGCCCTTGCAATATTAAACAATATTTTTTGCAGAACCCTACCATTGAGTGATCTAATCATCTCCCTAAAGTTTCATGATACACGGATGAACGGTGTGAAAACTAAATTTTATAAACCGTATATAGAGAAAAATCGCAGCCGCCCGTGGCGCCGCCCTTGCGAAATTAATAAAGGTTTTTTTTTACAGAACCCTTCCCTGAATTGTTCTAATCAACTCCCCCAAAGTCTCATGGCTATCGGATAACGGTGTCATTCAAAATCGACTTTTATTTTTATATACCGTAAATAGAGAAAAATCGGACCTCCCGTGGCGCCGCCCTTGCGAAATAATTTTTTTTTTACAGAACCCTTCCCTAGAGTGGTATAATGAACTTCCTAAAGTCTCATGACTATTGGATGAACGATGCCAAACCAAAATCGACTTTTATTTTTATATACCGTATATAGAAAAAAGCAAATCGCGCATTGACGTGGTGCCACCCCTGCAAATTTGAAATATTTTTTTTCGCAGGAACCTCCCCAGGAATATTCTCAACAACTTCCTAAAGTTTTATGCCTATTGGATGAACGGTGTCACTGCAAATCACTTTTATTATTTTTATATACCGTATATTGAGAAAAATCGGACCCTCCCGTGGCGCCGCCCTTGCGAAATTAAAAATCATTTTTTTTTACAGAACCCTTCCCTTGAGTGGTATAATGAACTCCCCAAAGTCTCATGGCTATTGGATGAACGATGCCAAACCAAAATCGACTTTTATTTTTATATACCGTATATAGAAAAAAACAAATCGCGCCCTGTCGGGGCGCCACCCCTGCGAATTCGAATTTTTTTTTTTTCGCAGAAACCTCCACAGGAATATTCTCAACTATTTCCCAAAGTTTCACGGCGATGTGATGAGAGGTGTAGTAATGCATAAAGGACAAACAGACACACACACACACACAAACATACATTGCTTTTTATATATATAGATAGTAGAATAGTCGAAAACAAAGTTATTTACGTTGATTTAATCCCATATTGTACAATAAACATATTAAATGCAAGAAAAGAAAAAAAAATCAAGATTCAAACGAATAGAAGCTAATGCGTTGAGTGAGATTGTTGGAGTAGGTAAAAGTAATATGGGGGTATCCGGGTTAAGGATTATGTGGGTAGAGGGGGCGGGTCGCGGTGGCTGACGAAGCGTAAATAGAGTGGATGTGTGGGTTTAAGGCGAGCCAGGCGTTTATGTTAGTTTAACGTTTAAATTTGTAACATGGTGAAAAATAAAACAATGGCTGGTTGAAATATATACAGTTCGCATGGTGTGTGTATTTACCATTTGTAAAACTAAGTAAAATAGTCAACACACATAATTGTTTTACATAAATTTCGTCACAATGTGTACACTAGCAGATACAAAAGAAAACAAAAACAACACAAACAAATCAAAGCTGATGTTGGGTTGGGTGGGGGCGTGGTGTGGTCGTTGGGGGGGGGGGGGGGGTTACCGAAAATGTTGGAGTGTTAGTGATTGAGTGGGAGGGGGTAAAGTGTGGTGCTTAAGGGTCGATGTGCATAGTCGTAGCTATGATTATTTGACTGCTTAGTACCGACATGTTTTGGGTGGGTATGTGTGAAGCTATAATGATGTGTGAGGATACGGTGGAGTTTTAAAAGTCAAAAATTGGTTTGCAGTGTTTTCATGAAAGAATTTGAATAGTTTCGTACATGTTAATAAAGGCTTTTAGGAATTTAAACTGTATGTGAAAAGAGGTGGTCTATGGGGGTGGGGTGAGGAGATAGACGGATGGGGTCATAGGGTCATGTAAGCTGTGGACCAATGGACAGTAGATATAAAATACTATTAAATTAGTGTTAAAACATATCATTACAATGTTTGTTTGAATGGTATGTAAATAAAACCGATACAAAAAAGGAGCAATAGAAACCATATTCATACAGAATAAATTTTACGAAAAGAGATGGGGGCATGGGGTTGTGGGGGTGGGGTCATGGGTGCAAAAACATCAGAAATGGGAGGGATTGGTGAGACACCAGAGGCGGTGATGCGTATCTAAGGTGTTGTGATCAAGAAACTCGGAAGCTAAGAGTTAAATGTATATTGCCCAACCGTAAACCTTATACATTCGATGTTGTAAACGAGTTTAGTATTAAGCCGCCCTAGAGGTTGTATACTGATCGAGAAAAAAATACGATGCTCTTTTAGACACGCTCTGCATTCCTACCATAATGTAGGCTACAACTTGACTTAAATGCATTGCTGAGGTGGAGATAGCCAAATAAAATTCAAGAATTGAACGATGAAGATATATGACAAATATGAGCGGAAGAATGTATTGAATCTGGCTAAAACTGTTAATGGGCTGTTGAAAAAGGGGATACATAGATAATGGATAATATAAGCTGCAAATGTGGAGATACGTAGTGAATGCAAAGTCTTGAAATTTCTGCAATTAATATAGCATACAATTGTTTACAGTTACTAATACATTCATGTTGATAATTTTATTTAATCTTTATATCGATTGGACTGTGCGTCTGGTGTACACACGTCACTGAAATGCACATTTAAATCATCAGTAATGGCATTGACTATTTAAAATACATTTAAATGGACCTAGATTAAGTAGCGTGCTATTTAAATGGCGAATGCATCCTAATGTATTTCGTTGAGTTTTTAAATTTTACAAAACAATAGCTAACAAACGAAACAAATACTAAATATCTTCACTTGATATGACGAAGGTGCATTTACTGCACATGCAGTATGTTAATAGATTAATAAATTAACAAAGGGTGTTTTTATTTTTATCGGGGAAAAAACTAAGTGTCTTGACCCGTTTATTTCAGAAGTGTTTATTAGATAAACGAAATACAGATTAGTTAGATATTTTAGGAAGGGTAACACAGCTTATATACTAAAGATCGTGGTTATGTAACGAAACAGTTTTATTCCACACCCTCCCGCCTGCCCTCACCTTAATTCTATTAACCCCATTACACAACATAGGCATACATATAGAGATACAAATAAGATACGTTGTAAGATTTAGAATTAGGGCTATTGAGCTTATCAAAAGAAGGAAAAGTACATAAGTAATATATATTGTAAAGCAGATGGGTTTACTAACCGCGAGCGTGTTACAACGGCAGGCAATGTAAGGTGATTAATGAAAAGGAGGGAGTTCTAGAATAGCCATACATAAATTAAATATAAATTGTATTTCTTGTAAGGGAATATATTTTTAAGTTGTAATGTAAGCAGGCAATAGATAATGTAATATTTCCTTTCTCAACAGTCGTCTTTTGTTTTAATGATGGGGTAGATACAGGAACTATCAAAATAAGTTTATGCAATATTTTCTTTTTACATAGAACGTTTTCAAGCAATGTGTGTATTATTGTAATGATGTGGTTTGGAAAATTGTGTATATTGTTTATAGATTTTCGTTACGTTTTTTAATCAATATGTATAATTATCATATAGTATAGAGGGAACAATACTTACAATATTTCAAACACAATGCAATATCTAAACATTTCTAATTTTTTGTCTAATACAGGGTTATAACGAACTCAGATTTGACATGAAGTATAAAGGTAAAGACTACTACGCTGTGTACAAAGGTTTTAAGGTAGAAAATGAAGCAGCAAAGTATAAGATGAGCCTCACGTCATTCAGTGGTGGGAATGTTGAAGACAAGTTTAGTTATCACAACGGCATGAAGTTTACAACCATTGACACTGATAACGATGTGTGGTCAGATGGAAACTGTGCTGTAGACTGGAGAGGTGGTTGGTGGTATGGTGCTTGTTACGATGTTAACGTCAACGGTGAATGGGCGAGTCGTGTTGCAGATAAAGGAATTCATTGGGTTACTATTACACGCTCGTCTGACTCTCTAGACTTTGTTGAGATGAAACTTCGCTGAATGTAAACAACCCGAAAACAATGCTATGGTAAAATAATGGATATACAGTAATCAAATTATTTAAAAAATCTTGAAGAACATAAGCAACATTACATATATTAAAATAAATAGATGTAAACATTTAACTAAGGCAATATTTTCTTGATGGTGAATATACATAAGGAGTTTAAAATTAACGAACATTAAACCAAACATTTTATTTTAAATAAACCGGGAGTGATCTCCCCTAAACTTTCTTGAATATTCTAATATAACTCTACGTGGGATGTCAACTCGGAATATAGACATGATTTTTGTTTACTTAATTTTTTAAAAATAGAATAGAATCTAGTAGAAAAAAGAACTGCGCAACAAGCGAATGTCAAATAAAGATGTGCATAACAGTGCGCAATATTATTAGTATTTTATTAATTTACATGCGTTTTTTGAGAAATCGGAAAAAGTGTAAATTAGTACTTCCGGTCAACGGAAATTACTCAAAATTTAAAAGAAGGTAGAGAATTGGATCTTTTACTTACATGTGAAATTTCATTTATCTATCTGAAATAGTACGCAAGTTATAGGCTTTTGAAAAATTCAAAGTAGAAAAATTACCACTTCCGGTTATCGGAAATCACTCACAAGGTGATAAGGATCTACGATTTTGATAAAATACTAATATATGAAAAATTTCATCAACCTAGCTGTACCAGTACTCAAGTTTTTTTTTTTTTATACACGGAAAGACACACACATACACACACACACAGATACACAGATATACGGACAAGATTGCAAAATTATGTTTTCCGTATCTGTGAGGTGTAAAATTATTTTTGCACGATTACAAGACTTTCTCTATACTTCGTATATACGGGAAAGTAAAAATGATTTTAAAAACTACAACAGAGTTTGTTTTGCTATTATGATGTAATAAAGTCATATATGCAGTAATCTAGAATTGAAATTCCTCATAGATTGACTGTGTGTGTTAGCCATTAAAACAGGAAAAAAACGACTATGATGTTGTCATTTATTTCTTGCATATTCATAACTAGACTAGTAGTGTAGTTGTCATCTACCACTATATCTTTAATTAGCTATTTACTCGGATCATGTGTAGTTTAACCCTAATAACGTGTGTAATGTTTGTGTAATTTTTTCAATAATATTTTTTTCACATAGTTTTTCGAAAGATATATATGCCATCCAAAGTCACATAAAGTAGATAGTAACTGTTAATTTGGTGTCTGTAAAGATTTGTATTATAAAGTCATATAGTAGAATAAAAATAGATTATTTAAGTAAATCCCATGTTTAAGTAGTTAATATTTTATCTATTGTATCTCATAACAAGCATGTTTGTTTATTAAGAAATCTCTACTATCACATATAAGTACATATTAGTACAAAATAAAAATTTTAATTCTGAATATGTTTGTATTACTGAGATTGGAATATTCTTTTATTATCGTTTTCAAGGTATATAACCATACTCTCACAAATCAAGTGGGTAATTTTAATTGTTATCTCCCGTGAACAAATGTGTTTGTGTTCCACACCATAGGCTAGAGAAATTTCCAATTACCTAAATTTATAATTGTATTTATTTAGTATGTTTACATGGACACAATTAATGGAAAGCAATTATATGCATTTATTTACTTCTTTATTATAACGCCCACTTAATTTTAATATCAAGCCTCCCTTTGTGTAGTTTAAGGAATTGTTTGGTTTTTATATAATTTCAAATACATCCGTTTATTCAACTTATGGTTAATTTGTTATTTCATTTGTTTTGTTTTTTTTTTTTGTTTGTTTTTTGAACACATAATAAAATCTTCTGAATTATCAAACATATGATAACTGTCGTTATTTTTTTATGTGATGAAGGCAATAAGGACCAAGGCTAATTGTACTGCGTAAATGAGTCCACACAGCTACGATGGTACTTTACTCACGTTATGGAACGTACACATTGACCAAGTTTTACCTACTCATGTCGAGATTACAGAAACATGTTAACTCTATATAATTGTACTGTTTTTAGTTTGTGATCCTAGGATAAATCAATAACTTTATTAACTTAATGTTTCCATTTCTATCAGCATTTTGTCATACAAGATTCAACTTCTGATGTGGTATGTAAATCCTGTAAGCTTGTCAGTTCCTCTAACGTGAATGTTTTCAATACAGGTCAGACCTTCCGACACCAGACCACTGCTGACAAGATTTTACCTTAATGTTATTTTTGGTATTAGCTCGAGTATTAGCTTTATTTTGTTTTATCTCTGGTCCTAGCTAAAAGTTAATTTTAGCATCGTGCTTTATTACTTTTCAGAATTCCCGTTAACAAGTTAGATGGTGTATAATGAGCTTAAAACGTTAATGCTCGTGTGTTAGAATTGAGAGATTAGCTTGTATTCTGAAGACATGTGTATGTATGTGTTCCCAAGAGTATTGCTGCCATCAAAGACATTTGTATGTGTGTGTTCCCTGAGTATTGCTGCCATCAAAGACATTTGCAGGCTGTCACGGGGGGTGGGGGGGGGGGCGTGACTGGGTAAAATGGGATACGAAGGTTCTATACGGCGTCAAACGTACAGACAAGGGGAGGCTACTGGAGAAATATTTGTGGCACAGCCTAAATGTAAACCACTCAAGGCGATAGATTCCTGGTCTAGATCTTTCGAGTTAACCTGTTCTAGAAGTTGAGCGCTCGAGTAGAAAATGTACCGCTGGATATCCATTGTTTTTCTAACTAATCTAAGATGGATTTAAAAATGGATTTATTAAACCTTACACATGAGAATAAAAAAAAAATTAAGCCCAAACCTTTGCTGAGATTTAAAACAAAAGTATGAAAAAGCTGGAAAAAAGAGCAAGTACAATATGAAGCACACATAAAATCAATGAGGAATTTGATAATGAAAGCATTAGAATTTAGAGCTGAACTATTTAGACACTTAAAAGCTAATGGTATCGACGTTTTAGTAAATAAATTGCTAGGAACTAAGATATCTAGCCTAAACAAAAGAGACCAAGTAAGTTTTAATTATTATCAAATGATATCTTCAACATTCCACGAAAGGAATTTGAACTTTTAATTTTCAATGTTTTTTTACTACACGCACGATTAAACTGAGAAAACATTTGGATTGAAAAAAATCCTTTATTATTTAGGCCTATACTAAATTGTTTTCAAGTAGGTGTGATATTAAAGGGGATATAACTGCGTCTAGAATTTGAACTTTTAATTTCCCCAATTGTTTTTTTTTTAATTCACAAAAAATTACAAACACAATAACAACATGAGGATAAAAGGGAAAAAAAAGTAATTTAAAATTGATTAAAATTATATCTATATGCCGATTTGCCGTCCCCCGTAGCGTTACATAAGTATATTGGAGAAAGTTTAGGGAAGATCAATCCCGCTTTAATTTTAGCGTAGCACAATGTAAAGCTCTCGAATTTGTCTTAAAATTTTCTGTAAACGAACATACGTATGTTTTTTTTTTTTAACATTTCCTTTTCGCCATGGCTATAATATAAATGATTGGAGCAAAGTCTAGAAAAGTAAAAGAAATTTTTCCGTAAACCAGAAAAAGCATATGTTTATTAAAAACCTCTAGATTTATACTTGAAGAATTTAGAATATCATTTAACTTGTAATACATAGAAGAAATACTATATAACTTTGTTAAATTGACGTAAAATATGTTATATTCAACTTATCTGACTACAGTTTTTTAAATTAATAAAGCGTTCAGTAAATCAGTCATTAAAACCTGACCCTAAAAACTTCATAAAAAACTTAAAATTAAGTTGTCATGTACTAAAAAGCAAGAAAAACGTATGAATAAATTATCAAAAGCAAAGGCTGATTAAGCGTGTTAAAATATGCTTGTATTTGCGTGAACCAACTAGAATGTCTTACATATTTACCAAAATAAAGTGCATTTTATTGGTGTGTATATTCATAACTTGTTGCATGTTTACTCTATCATTGTTATTATTAACGTATGTAGAATGTAATAGTAATCGTATATTTTTAACTCGTAGTTGGATATCAAAAGTTGGATGCTTTTTATGAACGAAAAACGGCATCCAGTGGCCGTTGACTATCTTTAATAATAGGTTTCTAGGAGACAGAGAAATTGACTGAAGAATTAACTGAAGAAAGATGGCGCTGAATGTGCCATGTATTAAGGATAAGACCAGACTAAGTTACAGCAATGGCGCTCGATTCTCAACCTGAAAGTGGACTGTGAAGGTTGAGGGAGACTTAGATACAGACAACAGAAAACTAAGTGGACTGTGGAGGTTGAGGAAGACTTAGATACAGACAACAGAAAACTAAGTGGACTGTGAAGGTTGAGGGAGACTTAGATACAGGCAACAGAAAACTAAGTGGACTGTGAAGGTTGAGGGAGACTTAGATACAGACAACAGAAAACTAAGTGAACTGTGAAGGTTGAGGGAGACTTAGATACAGACAACAGAAAACTAAGTGGACTGTGAAGGTTGAGGGAGACTTAGATACAGACAACAGAAAACTAAGTGGCTGTGACGGTTGAGGGAGACAAAGATACAGACAACAGAAAACTAAGTGGACTGTGAAGGTTGAGGGAGACTTAGATACAGACAACAGAAAACTAAGTGGACTGTGAAGGTTGAGGGAGACTTAGATACAGACAACAGAAAACTAAGTGGACTGTGGAGGTTGAGGTAGACTTAGATACAAACAACAGAAAACTACTGACAAGAGCAGAGAAAGTTGTGAAAGACTGGCTTTTTCTATCGGCCCCATTTACCCTGGGTATCGACGGTAAAAGGTGATGATGATAAAAATCATGCAGAAATATTTTTAAAAACATTTTATTCTGTAAACCAAAACCCCAAGTTGGCCGACTGAATTAACATACCGATTTCTCAAGTGTTGGATTTTAATGTTTTAATTGCTAAAAAACGTAATTCTATTTTTAAACACCTTGAAATTACTCATTGAACGGAAAATGGAGATCAATCAATATAAAATGTACGTCTTTAAATTGATTATAAAATTCTGAATACATTTGGAAACTGCTGGAATTAATTTCCTAATTTTAATATCTGTCTCAGTTTAGAATAAAGTACGAACAATACGATTTTTTTAAATAGTTGTGCATTTTTACAAGCTTTTATTTAACGTGCATACTATGTTTGGCCAATCCATTTCCATTTTCTCATCATCGAGTACCCCGACCTAAAAAGTTTGAACCAGACCATCAGACCCTGATTAGCGAGGGCATCTGACAGGCACACCTAAAACTATGAATCTAGTACTGTTTTTCCTTTTCCCTAAATTTAGCACCCTACCTTTACTGACAAATTTACGCCCCTGACTGTATATGCGAACTTTCTAAAATAGCAGACGATGAACCAGGAGAATCGTACCTGGTCAAAACATTTTTGGTTTTTGATAACGATTCATGTCTGGGTGAGGCGAGGCCTAGAATAAAGAAGAGTTTTGTCGAGTTTAATGGTTACGGAAAACTGGAATACTGTACTATTTTTAATTGTTAAATGTTCAGTCCATTCGAATGAAAAAAATTGAAGATAAATTGTAATCATAACAATTGCTCTTGTTATCGAGTGGTATAAAGTAAAAACTAGCTTGAAAAAAAAACACGTAGCGAGCAGTGTTTCTTCCAGGCATTTCTTCGGGGGATGAGGAATGGGGGGGGGGGCCTCCAAAGTCCGCCCCCCCGGAAATTTTAAATGCCCCCCCCCCTATCCCCGGAGAAAAAAGTCTGAAAGAAACACTGTTAACGAATATAGTTAGTAATACTCGTCAACGTATACGCAGTGTTTCTTCCAGACTTTTTTCTTTGTGACTCTCGGGGGGGGGGGCAATAAAGTTTCTGGGGGAGTGGGGGAGGGTGGGCGGACACTAGTAAAAGTATATATTTTATACATAAATTGCATTTCTTTCGGGGGGGGGGGGGGTAGAAACTAGTCTAACCAGATGAGTTCGAGTTGAGCCTAATTCTCATTTTAGATTTGTTAACACAAGAACAAACTGGTTTTCTTTCCCCAAATAAGCTGATGCCCCCAGCTAATGAGCATCACCTGACCTGTTCCCGACACTTGGGACGTAAGAGTTAGCAAATCCCACGGTCTCCCGCCCCACCCCGCCGTCTCCCGAGAAGCTATTGATAGGGTTGATTAAAAGTTGATAGGGTTGATTAAAGTTTATAGGGTTGATTAAAGTTGATAGGGGTGATTAAAGTATAGATAATGATCTAATTTATTTATTGAAACAGAATTTGAATTTTAAAACACAAAATAGTGAACTTTCTGTAAAATACTATGCGAATTCTACTCTAAACCACATTTTGATTAAGATTAACATGAGAAATTAAAAAATTAAAGAACCTTAACCGGCTAAATGTTATTGGATCATATCTTTTTATTCGGTTGCTTCCCTTTGATGGTAAAAGAAAAAGTTTCCCTTTCAAACCTGACGGTCTATAGGGCAAGTGAAGTAGAGTTCACTTTCTGTGACCTCGGCATATGAAGGGATAGTGTGGTAAGCAATATGCCCAGTCGCCTTCACTCTCGCTAACGTGAGTTAGGTACCGATCAGAGGTACCTTTTGATGGATGTGGTACTAATCTTTAATGTATTTTAGAGGTCACGAATCAAAATAATACTAACAACATTTAAACCCTGACTCCACATTTAAACAC